AAAGTATTCACTAACAAAAATCCCGGCCTCTTATTCATCTTTTTTGTGATCAAAGGGACGTTTTTCAATTACATTTTTAACAGCTTTTGCAATCCCTTTACCGGTGAAAGTGGAGGAAACGGCTTGATTAATTACCAAGCAAGTGTTTTCATTTCTTATCCGAGTCTAAACGTCGCAGTTAAAAACGTAAACCATCAAAATTTGTAAAATAAACTGAGTTTTTCGAAATTTCTGTTCTTTGATTTTATCCCTCACCTAATGGAGATCGCCTCACTTGCCCACTGTCTTCATGTAACCTTCACGGACAAATACCCTTGCTTATTGTTGTTAATGAAACAGACTTCAGGGATTACATGTGACAGCAACTTCTGTACACTTGATTGGTAAAAACGGAGGAATTGGTTTGATTAATTACTAAGCAGCTGCTAAAATGTCAGAGCGTAGCCTAAACTTNCCTTTTCCACTTGTTTATACATTTATGACTAATGCATGTATGTTTTGAATTTGTAGTTTTAGGATCATGTTCATGATATTTTGAAACTGGTGTTCTCATGGACCTTGGCACATTATTCAAGAAAAATTCCCTACTCAAAATGAAATGATTAATTTATATTTGGTTTGAGTAGTCGGGGTCCATTGAAAAAAATTGCGCGAAAAACCTAAGTTTTAGTCATTTTGACAAGAAGAACTATTGAATTTGTCTGTGACTGGTCCCTCAGGCGATGTACAGTCGGCTTCCGATATCTCAAACCTTCAAGGAAAATTGAAAAAGGTTCGAGTTATCGGGAGTTCGAGTTATCAGGGGTTGAGAATAAAGGACCAAAAATAAGAAAAAAACGGTTTTTACCATATTTCTACTTTCGTGTTTTTATTCATACAGTGTTTATTTTAATCAAATTTAATTACAGACGTAACGTGAAACAGAACAAAGAAAAGCAACAGGAGACCGGAAGTACATTTACTGCGAACTTTGCGGGTTTCAAAAGGAACAACGTTGGGGTACTGCTACAGAGAGTTCATAGACTTATGCCCGGAGGGGAGGGGGTAGGGTTTTTCAGCCGTTGTGGTCATAAATAGGGTATCGATTTTGGCCATTTTGGTTATAAATTAAGTAGGGTTTTAGCACTCTAGTCTTGAATTGGGTATCTTTCTTAGAAGAAGCTACTTTTTCATCATTATCAATAAGACCATCAACAAAAGCCCTTCATAACTTATGTTTAGGTCAACCGTGCCAGTCGAATTTTTGGTCAGGTCATAAATAGGATAGGAAAAAACTGTACCATTACTATCTTTTTCTCTGTCTCAACAGCAAAAGTTGGATGGGAGTGTGCGGCCCACTTCCCAAAACCCTTACCCTATTTATGACGAAAACCTGCGTTAGAAATGTTTAAACAATTTCATCATATAATAAAAAAAAGCCGAATATTTTTCCTCTGCGATTGAAGAGACAGAAACGAAAGCAATCTGCCGAGTGGCACAGTCGCACGGTTGATAAATGTAACAGCTACTAGTGTTTGTCACAACACTCCCTGTCGTCGCTTCCTAGAAGAATAAGAATCACGATAAGAGAGCGATCGACTCGCCCGACCAAAGTTGTTCTCACAATGTGTGAGAACCTGCGTTGCCATTTTAAATTTGGTCTCTATTCAGCGCGTTACCAATATTACATAGTGGTGGCCTAAAATGCCTTGAGGTTCTGAAGTTCCTATAGAAGTTACGTAATCTGTCATGGGAGACTTGAGAGTGTTATATAATTCGTCACATGACTTCATATTTTCCTTGCTATTTTAATGGTTTAAAATTGCGAGGTTAACGGAAACCTCCTACTCTTGCTAATAGCCACTCCCATTTAAAGAAGCGCTCTCTGTTTGGATGTGTTTTTGCTGTTCAGCGCCCCCAATCTTATAAAACGCCCCCATAACAAGAATCGCTGCTATTACGTAAGCGCCTTATTCCGATGAGCACCTCTGTTCTGCTTCAATAAAAGCGTCTTCATTGAGATCAACGGTGGTTCCTGATGTTCTCTCTGAACTTGCCACATAATTTCTGTTTTTTCTAAGTTTCTTAATTTAATTTTCGTGTGTAGGAGGGTACGTGAATCCCCAGATTGTTCGCAGTCAAATTTTGAGGGTCTCAGTGGTATGGTTGCTTTTACGCAGCTAACGGTTAATTTATTTTCCTTAAGGTGATTCCTCAGAAATAAAAGCTGTCGAACAATCAGTGTTTGATTCTTTCCCTGAATATTTCCTAACCAAGCACTGTTTCGAAAAATACGATAAAAAGGATAGGTCACCATGTTCGCTAAAGAGATATGATGGGTCAATCTTACCCCCGTTTATGCCTGACCATGCGCGTTATTTCATCAGTTCACGTTACATTTTGTCGCGGCTTGAAACAAAGGCTATTAAAGCAATACTTGAAAAAATAGTGATAAGTAGAAAGTCTCGACACTTGGAACAATTGTAATATATAATCTATGGAAAATTCACACAGTTCTAAACGTCATTGATTCAAAATATACCTCGAATTATTGTTTTCGAGGTCATAATTCGCTTCATCGAGTAATGTTTTTGTGCACTCTCTTAGCTATATCATATTTTCCTTCCGAACAATTTTTTTCTTGGCTTTTTAACTCAAAACCGATAATCTGTACACCAAACTTATGCAATAAAAACTATAGGTCACCATGCTCGTTTAAGAGAAAACATGCATTTATTTCGCTGTCAAGCTTAGCTTGAGGGAAATCTCTTTCGTTGTGTACGTGCACGCGATCATTTGCGCGCGCTAATGACGCGAAAATCGTGCGCAGTAGGGATGCGCGATGGAATACTGAGGAATCACCGTAAGGTTAACGGAAATCTTAGAAATTAATAACCATTGCTTTTAAAAGTTAAAAATAAATTTGCATTGTTTAAAAATGTTAAAAATATATTTTAATTACTGTAGAAAATCTTTAAGGTCTTATTAGTCGACCATACCAACGATGACGGTACACAGAATGTCGACATTTGGGAAGGAGACTGTTAAGTAAATAACATTCAGTTTTAAAATTTTGAAACGTTTTACAAACGTTATCAGAAAGTTTGCGTGGGGTGATAGCCTAATGGCTACTTAATTAACGATCTTTCTCTGTTCCAGTTTTGGTCTTTACTGTGTTATAACAATTCTACCTGTCTAGCAATTCAGTACTTTCAGACAATTTTACTTTATTGACAAATAAACAAGGAATGGCAACACGCGCAAGAGGTAGAAAATTTTCTCTGGCCATACGCTTTTTGTCATTTTGTTTCACGAAATAAATAAATGGTATGATGCTTAGTGCTTATATTATTATATGGCTTGTGTTTCTGAGCGGTATAACGCGCGCTCTGATTGGCTAATTCTGGGCGTTATTCTCCCGTAAAGCTTACGGGCCGATTACGGACCTGCAAAAACAAAGCAAAAGGTGATCAAAAAAACTTTTTTTCTGAAATTTTAGCGCGGCTGAAAACGATGAGTGACGGGGAACACGCTGGTAGTGAATTCTATTACCCTGCCTGACGGTCAAAGAAAATCTCAAACCCCGTGACCTCGCTATCGCTCGGTCAATATGCCGTTGAAGGTTTCGGGCGGAGATTTTCCCGCAAAGAGGGTCCGTAAAGACCTCAATCTCGGTTAACAAGTAGATCACATTTTTCTTTAATTGAGTCTGTTAATTGTTTTAAATGAGTTATACTAGCAGTGGTCGAAAATTGTCTTTGTGCCGAATTTTTCCAATAAATATACCTTTTTGGAATTTGCATCAAACAAGCTCAAAGATCTCTTTCCGTAGTCTGTACACAATATCGCTTCCCAATGCTAGACAACTTTGGTGCTTTTTTATCATAAACATGCCAAACATCAACTCTAAAATAAATTTTAAACAAATTAAACACGAACCATTTGTATTTAAAGGTACTTAACCATCAGGGTTTCTCATTCTATCTTAGCCGGAGGACACCTGACAGGAAGCCGTTTTTTTAGTAATTTAACCGCAATAAAGAACACCTTCTTCTGTAAAGAACATTTAACGTTCAATTGACAGTTTAGGAAAATAGAACCAAAGCTCGCCGCTTTACTGAAAGAAATTAAATTACAATCCATCAAAATGTCCTCTCTGGTGCGTGGTTCGGTAGCCCAAATGACTCACGCGATGTGAGTTACCCTTGCCATTTAAAAGCGGCGTACATCACTATCCCCAGTTTTCAGAATTCAAATTTTAAGCCTGGCACCTTTGGTTTTTGCCCAAAATTATTTTAACTGAGTGTACCCATGAGTTTTAAACACTTCAAGTATTTTAACTTCTTAATATTTTTTTTTTAGTTTCATGTTTGCAGCGTGGGTAAAATGAAATGCCGAACAGGTGAGGCATTTTGTTGGAACCTTCAAGGGGACTTCGCCCCAGCCACATAAACATGTTTCAATTTTAGTCCCCTATTGTTCCGCTCTCAAGGGTCAACCCTTAGTAGAGATCCATCCTACGTGTTCTTAGTCAAATTTGAATTTCACCCTGCATTCTCCTTAGAACATAAAGTATTCACTAACAAAAATCCCGGCCTCTTATTCATCTTTTTTGTGATCAAAGGGACGTTTTTCAATTACATTTTTAACAGCTTTTGCAATCCCTTTACCGGTGAAAGTGGAGGAAACGGCTTGATTAATTACCAAGCAAGTGTTTTCATTTCTTATCCGAGTCTAAACGTCGCAGTTAAAAACGTAAACCATCAAAATTTGTAAAATAAACTGAGTTTTTCGAAATTTCTGTTCTTTGATTTTATCCCTCACCTAATGGAGATCGCCTCACTTGCCCACTGTCTTCATGTAACCTTCACGGACAAATACCCTTGCTTATTGTTGTTAATGAAACAGACTTCAGGGATTACATGTGACAGCAACATCTGTACACTTGATTGGTAAAAACGGAGGAATTGGTTTGATTAATTACCAAGCAGCTGCTAAAATGTCAGAGCGTAGCCTAAACTTTTCTGTTAGTACCGGAACCCGTCATCAAAACTGCGAACAAAAGAAATGGGAAAAGAGTATTTTGAAATTTCTTAAACTAAACTGGAGGTCAATAGGGCTATCCAAATTTCAACAAAAAACTGTGGTGAAGGTCAAAATTCATTTTGAAAGTCTCTAAACATGGTTATCACTGAAAAGTGGAGCACCATCTTCGTCGTAATTGAATTGGTGGTGTGCTTCTTAGGAATAGCGTTTAATGGAGTTGTGATTTTCACAATTTGCAATTGTAGAAATGTTCGTCGTCGCATCTCAGCACCGACCTATCTTATCCTCAGTATCGCGGTGAGTGATTTCCTTTCTTGTGCGATACCTGTTCCATTGTCGATTGCAAGACATTTCCAAAAGGAATGGCCATTTGGTTTGGCTGGATGCCAAGCTCACGCCTTCATGATATTTCTACTTGCTCTTGTCTCGATCACCCATTTGGTTGCCATTTCAGCAGGGAAGTACTTGACCATTACAAAATCTCTTTCGAGAGATTCTTATTTCAACAAGAAAAAAGTGGTTTTGATTATCTTGGGCTCTTGGATTTACTCGCTCGCCTTCAGCGTGGCACCATTGGTAAGCTGGTCGAGATACGGCCTAGAAGGAAAAAATGCTACATGCTCAGTGAGATGGGATTCATCTCTTTCAAGCGATCAGGCATACTTTGGAGTTGTCATTTTCACTTGCTACGTTTTGCCTCTGGCCGTGATCACCTTTTGCTATTACAAGATCCATCAAGTTTCCAAACAGATTGTTGTCAACACTTCCCATAGTGGCGGTTTAACCATGACAGCAACACAAGCCCTTCTCAGGAAGCACCAGAAAACTGCTGTTTATTTTTTAGCTATCATAGCCGGTTTTCTAATCCCTTGGTCACCTTATGCCGCAGTGTCCCTCCTTTTAGTTGTAGGACGCAAGGTTAGCCCTTTCGCTACCAGTGCATGTAGTGTGCTCGCCAAAATTTCGTTTTTCCTCAATCCATTACTCTATGCCATTTTTAATCGCAAGTTTCGACGACGCTTCATTCTTTCTGTTCCTATAAGCAGACTGAATGAAGTGATTAGGCCAGCTGTTGTACCTTCTGTTTCACGCACACTGGCTCTTTGAACAGCGCCAAGCAGTGAATTCTGATTAGCCATGGTGTACTTGGTAAATCTATACCCTTTACTGTATAAACCACACAGGTGCGAGCAATTCTGTCGTCATGCCGTATATGCAGACACTCATCTCGACACTCTCGATGATTGCTGATAAAACCCTTGGTAAAGAAGGAACACTTTCTGCGTCAGTCTTTCCTTGACCTCCCATAAACACGGGAGTACATTGTCAGAAACCATTGCGGAACAGCCAGTATTTTGGCTGCATATCTCAATTTTCCGGTGTTCAGTGGTTACACCTTCGATTTGGTGTTCAACTGACCCAATCGCGTAATGTTTCTCAAACATAAATTTATGTATTTAGGTCTCTAGCTACTTGATATAATGAAGCATTTTGTTTTAATTTCAAATGTTATTAAATCAGTCAGATAAGCAAGTGCAGATTCTCTGATCTCAGTATCTAAACCACGTTTTCTAAACTCACAGGGGGCTTATTTCACATGTCAGATTTTCTGGGTCAGTGATAGATTGCACTTGCTTACGCTGATGTTTTTCGCTTTCAGAGGTAAGACCCCACTAACTGAACCACCAGCAGTTGAAAAGGAACAGCACAGTTTGTGGGTGAAAATGGTAACATTAAGGAAAACAATCATGTCTCCTGGTATTGGGGCGTACAGAGTTAAACTAACAAAATGAAACCGTAGCTTTTTATTCAGGTTTTACACCTCTTAGTAACCGAGTTCGAGGGCTTCGCGCTTGGGCCATAAATCGATGGGGAAAAACTCGGTCCGTAACTTACGGTACGGACCGAGAAAACGAGGTTGGCAGGATACTTATTCTGTCTCTACTGAGTCTCTGCCTGGTCCAGGAACGATGAACGACTTCAAAATTCTGACGTACGTCAAAAGGAAAACGAAAAACGAGTCAATTTGTATCTGTAATTGTATGGGCCCGAGGGTAGTTAAGGATTAATTTCACGCGTATTTTCAAAGTTTTCACAAAGTTGCCGGAGTCGCTAAGAAGGTAGGGGTGAGTTTGGTTAGTTAAACTCGGATTCTGGGTGGTCACGTGACCAGACGCAACCAGGGTCTTCCTTCCAACGACCAAGGGAGGCAGAGGGGAGAGAGCCTGGGAACGAGGCTGTCGAAGCTCCCCTTGCGACCACTCTCATAAGCGACCAGCTCTAGTTACGACCACCTTTGCGAAACCTCGTTTGAACCGTTTCTTAAACTTTGTAATGAAAAGCTCTCGTAAGGGACCGCTCCCGTAAGCGACCGCGACCACTTTGGGGATTACCCAACTGGACTTTTCCTTCGTTTTTAAGCTCTTGAAAGCGATCACTCAGAGTCTTTTAGACACGATAAAACACAAACTGTGAGTTTATCGAAGGGCTTCAAAATCATCAGATGTAGATAAACTCATTATGGAACTAGTGTTTAGATTTGGGGTTATTTTGCTCTAAAACTTTGAATGTAAAGTTAAGCCGTGTCTATATCAGATATATAGACACTCTTAAACATTAATTTGTTTTGTTTTTTCTGCATAAATTGTTTATGAGTTTCTGAAGCTCTCGTAAGCGACCACCTTCTATTATTTTACCATGCGGTCGCTTACGAGAGCTCATTCTTATAAACGACCAGCTCTAGTTACGACCACTTTTTCAAATTTCCGAGGTGGTTGCTTACGAGAGCTTCAACTGTAACTCTTTTTTTAAAACTCTACTATTCAGTTACATCTGTTTTAGTTTAGGACAAATCTAGTTATTCGGGTTTCCGTAAGAAAGCTCGAGTCCTAATGTGCAAGCCGTTTCGTCTTGAGCGCCAAATGGGGGGCCATAGTACCAGGGGGTCATAGTGCCAGACGTTCCTAGCGGAGAGTGCGGAAACTGGATATGAGAATTGTGACACGTTGCTGTTCGTAAACAAAATGATTCACAGAATATGTTGAGTTTTGTGAAGAAAGCTTTGAAAAGAATCATGCTTTATACGCTCATCTCCCATACAAATATGTCGAGCATTTTTGGAACGGGTCGAACTTATAACAGTACATAAAGCGGAAAGTGTCTCTCCGACGAAAACTTGAATGGAATTCGAAAACAGAAACCGGCATGAAATGAAAGCCATTTAAAAAAGCATGTCTATTACTTCCGAAAGTAAAAGACTACAATTCCACAGTGGTAGGACCTGCTTTCATTCCATCCGTTTCGTAGTACGGCGGAGGCGCCTGCGTCGTGGGCATTGCACCTGCTGGTTGTGGCTGCCCATATGCTCCGTAAACAGGATTCATTGGCATGCCTGGAGCTGCGTTATACGAACCACCTTGAGGATAGGGATGGTGAGACCCTGGTGGAGGTGGACCAGGCTGTGTTCCTGGGGGTGGACGTGGAGGCGGTCCAACTATACTTTGATACTGTTGCGGGTTGGGTTGGGTATACCCAGTAGGGAGCGGCTGGTTCGTTGTTACTGTGGTGGTGATTGTAGCGCTAGAGGGAGCTCGAGCTGCTACAGCTCTTCGGTTTTTCCTCTTCACGAGGTAGATCACGAAGGCAATGACTGCAACTATGACACCAATCCCAACTAAGACTCCTACCACGGTACCCACCATGCTTGCTATTGAGAAACAATATCAAAAGAAAATCTTTCAGCAACAAAATTTGATGAATATCAGTGGCAAATTAGTCAGTCAATCGTCGATTTCAAAATTTAGGCCAAGATACACTTGGATACTTTATGAAATAGTTATGTTTTAAATCGATGCATATAACTGAACCATGCATGGACTCTAGACGGTTAACAAATTTTGAATAGGCCATATATGACAGCCACCGCGCTAATGTCTTTTATCCTAACATGATGATTAACCAGCTTTTATTTTGCCAAGAGATTATGAAGGTAAATACTTTGATAATCTCTTGATTGATCGTAACTAAGCATACGTCAACTGAAAAGAGATGTTAACTATTCAAGTGTGTCAACAGAATGTTGTCGTGGCATATGGCACAAAATCTAACTCGACTAGCCTGTAGTTGTTCATGAGGAAACATAGAGCTGAAAGTCTCTTTAAATGAAACAAAGCTTATCTTATTTACTCACAGCTTTTACTGATAACTTCATATCGAGCCTGGAACCCTTTATAACGCAACTGAGAGTCGGACCTGAAACGCAACCACAGATATCGGCCACTGGATGTGATGGTTGGAGCATAGCTTCCACAGTAGATACCCTTCTTCAAACTCGTCGAAGACGACCCATCGCGAACCTCCAGATAATCATTAGAGGAGCACACTCCGCTCTCCAGTCTGAAGTAGTTGAAGTATAGTTTGACTCTTTTACCGCTTGGTGCCGTAATTTTCCAAGTGCACAGCATGCTGTCTGGGTAATAAGATGGGTAAGAAGGACTCGAGAATGTCCCGCCAGAGGAACTGCTCATTTGTAAGTTGTTGTTCAGGAGAAATGGGCCGTTCAATTGGCACTTACCAGAAGAGCGTACTGTAGAATTGAACATTAAGACAGTCGACTAAGGTTAGGATGGGAATGCTGAAGTCACAGTTATCACTTAAAAGAGCTTCATCACGGTTTTTGCAACTTGAAAACTTTGGCCTAACTTTTTCTCGTTCGTCATTTGTAATATGTGCAATCTTCTCCTTTCTTAACCATCCATTATTATGCTTTTGGGGTTTTTTATCTCAATGAACTACTGTTTTCAGCTTTCCTTTAATTTTAAGGTTATTTTGTACGTGGCCAAAACTAGTCAAGATGCCATGACTGAGCTCCTCTAAGTGTTCAGGGATTTTTCGGCTGTCAGCTAAAATCCCAGTCCATATCTAAACTAGCACTGAATTTTGCAAGTAAAAGACTATGTGAAGAATTCTCTTTTTCCGGTAAACCCACCCTCTTACTATTATCACAAAGTGGTCCACGATGAGATGGACAATTCCGATTGTTTCGCTAAACCGTCCGGCATGTCCGGTTTTGCAATATAGACCATTCACGAATAAGTTTCGGCGAATTGCTTTTTCAAAACAACGTACAAACAAAACAGTTTGAAGGAAAAATCATTTTTCCTTTATGTCTGATGAACAATTTCGGTTAAACTTTCACAAAGTGACTTGAAAACAGCAAATATCTATGTTGTTGGTTGAAATGTTTCTTTGATTTACCATCTCAATCAGTTTGCTCTTAATTGTTTTCCGTCTCATTTTCATTACAAAAGTGTGAAGCAATGGGGAATTAGCAGAAATCAAACTGCATGGTATGAAAAATCTTAAAGCAAAAATAAATTCAAACTACGACATGTACTTATTTTTGTCGCACACGTTTAACGTGAATTAGAATGCATACAACAATTTTAATTATCAGTAGAGTGTTAAAATAGCCGTTATTAATGGTAGACCTCTTATTGGACTACATAGCTTGTTCGGTACGTATTGCACTATTAAAAAAGTATTGGTCTCATTCTCTTTGTTTTTGTTTTTTGCAAATTTATGGACATACACATGTAGAAACCAACGAGACCAATACTTCCCAATATGGAGTGACTAGCTAATTCCATAATAACTGGATATTATCTCCCTCGTACCTGGTATTATTGCTCGAAACGTAGCAGAGAACTTCCGTATGAAAGGATAATTATCAAAATCACTGACGAATCTCACAAAAATGTATTTGTAGTTTGACACTATTATCGGCGGCAGCCGACTTCCACAAAACTTTCCAATCAGCTTGCTTGTCGATAGCAAATCTCCATCGCGAATCTCCACATAATCATCTGAACAACTGGACTTTGACTCCAGAAAGAAGGAACTGAATGCCAACTTCACTGCGTACGCGGACGTTGGCCTCTGCAGACTCCATAAGCAATTACTGGAGGGTGGGTAGTTGTTTGGATAGGAAGGACTTCTGAGCCATCGAGAGTACAAAGCATTACTTTGGAAAGAAAAGCCTTGGCTGAAGCAGTCTGAAAGTAAAAGAAGAAGCATGATTGGCTTTATGGTTTCCTTTTGGCAGTCGTGCCGAACGAAGTCTTAAAAGCATGTTTAGGAATAAATGTTGCTTACTCCAACCACTAACTATGCTCCAACTAAAGCGAAACTAAGGATACCATTTTTCATGCCACAACTCGCAAACAAACAAAGGACGATACGAGGAACATCAACTTCGTACCGAGTCTTCGCTTCCCTACACCAGAGGTCGGGAGCTGAACAACCCCAGAAAGTTCCAACCGGAAGCCCAAAAATGTGCGCGCATGCCTAGCTGCCAAACGTGCTCAGTAGAGCTACGGTTACTTCCGGTCTTCTTGATTGTCAAAATAGATCCTCTAACGGAACTCTCGAGAGTCCTGATCGCTTCGTCTAGCTTGCGTAAAGAACGAAGAGTCGAGTACGAGATTGGAGGAACGTGAATACCGTACTTACTGCTGGCCGATGACAAATGATAAAGGGTTGAAATAACTGAAAAGAGAGAAGAACATTTATTAGTTTAGTGATGGGATTGAATCTTTGGCACATATCAGGATAGCTTTTGGAAACATAGAACTACATTGAGGGAAAATTACCACGTATTTTTACACAATATTGGCCGATTTCGGAGAAAACCTTTTTTCATATTTCCATCTAAGCGTATTATAGCCGAGTAAGGATCTCGACGAGCCATTTCCCTGTGAAAGGGGAGATACCTCTACCATCTTTAGGTTAGGGTTGTGCCTCTGGGTTAATGAAAACGTTACCGTATATTAGACCATGATCAGCTTGATTTTGAAACCCTATTCTAGACTATGAACCAAACACCCCTATCCTCCCAGGCTAGCTATTTGTTAGGATGAGAAACTTTATCACTATCTTAGTCTAACATACAAACGCTACCTAAACCAATATCTTACAAAGTCACTTCCGAGTTTCACTTTCTATTATAGAACCCCGACCGGGTAAAGAACCCTGGATCAAAATGTTTAAATTCACTCAAAACTGGCGAATGTGAGAGCTACAAACCGACGAACAGGTGTACTTACGTCACCAAAGACAAATACGAATAACACGATCGACCCAGAAAATTTGTTTTATTCAGCTTTAAATTTCTAATGAAGTTGCTGAGGCAACGGTGGAATCAAGTCTTTGTTGCGAAATTTAAAGTGATGTTTAGTTTGTTTTGTATACCAAAGAGCTCAAACATGTAACTTACTAATGATGGAAAGATTGTTCATTTGAACACCAAGAAACTAAACCCTTGCAAAAAAAAGGCAATAAGATATTGCTGAAGTATCCCGAAAGCTGGAAACATTTGTAGATTATGTCGATTGAGAAGCAAATATTGTCATACGCCAAATAAACATGATTTCTAGCCATGGCAATTCAGTTGTCACTGCCATCAAACCACTTGGCGGGTACGAAGCTGAGTTAAGACAAGAGAGAGAGAGATTGCGCAAGACGTGAAAGTGAAAAAATGCACGTCAAATAAGGATCACCATGTAAAATCACAAATCTCATTCAAAATAATGGAATTTCTGGTTTCTATCGCGATAAACAGTTCAGCTGACAGTTTAGTTTCTTTTTTAAATCTATTTGAACAGCATATTGTCTCTACTCGATCTATACTGAATTTGCATATTAGCTATAGGAAATGAAATATCTAAGCCGAAATGCAGAAAAGGCAAATGGCACTGTGCCAGAATTTTCAATATACATGAGAAGATCAGCGGACATTACAGTTACTTCGGAGGAGAGTGAATTTAACAGAATACTGTGTAAAACAAACAAACAAACAAACGTAAAAGCAGTGCAAGAACTAGTTCCTATCAGAAAAATTGCAGTGCCCGTGGAAAAATAAACGCCATAACAGCTGTGAATAGCCGGGATGTATTCGAACAGTTCGACTCGCATTGTTCACCGGGCTATAGACACTGATATCTCAGTCAAAAAAGCAGTTTTTCTTTTCTCGCAAACTGATGTTAGCTAAGGCTTTAACGACTGGATGTATTTAGCAGAAGAGTTCTTGCATGGTTTTAAAACTACTGGAAAAATTCAGGACCCAGTTAACAATGAAGTTACGAATACGGACCTGTTTATCCATTGGAGCAAACTGAACGTGATAGACAATACGTTCACGTCAAGCAGACGATTGTATATGAGGAGTTTCGATGTGCAGTTTTCCTGTTAAATCTTCAGCTGAAGCGAACACAATATATAGTCGCACAGTTGGTGATTATAGACTTACCAATTAAGACGATCGTTGAGCCACTATTTTGAATTCCCATGTTAAGGTTTTTCGGACACTGTGGAAATTTGGTGTGTCAATCAGAGAATCTTGTTCGGTTTCTTCAAATCAAACCTTTACCATTTAAGAACAGACCTCATTTTCTCCTCTATTTAATAAATGAATGACTACTACGGTTGTCAGGCATTAGTTGTCAAGAAAATCCGTGCTGACGTCAACGGTGCTCGTCGCAGCTATCTGTCACCAGGGGGAACCCCGATCTTCGAACACCCGACAGGACAAATTTCCATGTAACATTTCCATATAACATGCGGAATGTTTAATTAGAAGGCAAGACTAGCCTTTTTCTTTGCAAGTTGCGACACCTAGATGTTGTCTGTGAAAATAAAAAAAACAAACAAAACAAGAATTCGAGACTTTCTTAGCGTCGCAAAAAATCGAGACTCCGAGACAGCTCTGTGGAAAATTGGAAAAAAAAAAAANAATTAGAATGCATACAACAATTTTAATTATCAGTAGAGTGTTAAAATAGCCGTTATTAATGGTAGACCTCTTATTGGACTACATAGCTTGTTCGGTACGTATTGCACTATTAAAAAAGTATTGGTCTCATTCTCTTTGTTTTTGTTTTTTGCAAATTTATGGACATACACATGTAGAAACCAACGAGACCAATACTTCCCAATATGGAGTGACTAGCTAATTCCATAATAACTGGATATTATCTCCCTCGTACCTGGTATTATTGCTCGAAACGTAGCAGAGAACTTCCGTATGAAAGGATAATTATCAAAATCACTGACGAATCTCACAAAAATGTATTTGTAGTTTGACACTATTATCGGCGGCCGCCGACTTCCACAAAACTTTCCAATCAGCTTGCTTGTCGATAGCAAATCTCCATCGCGAATCTCCACATAATCATCTGAACAACTGGACTTTGACTCCAGAAAGAAGGAACTGAATGCCAACTTCACTGCGTACGCGGACGTTGGCCTCTGCAGACTCCATAAGCAATTACTGGAGGGTGGGTAGTTGTTTGGATAGGAAGGACTTCTGAGCCATCGAGAGTACAAAGCATTACTTTGGAAAGAAAAGCCTTGGCTGAAGCAGTCTGAAAGTAAAAGAAGAAGCATGATTGGCTTTATGGTTTCCTTTTGGCAGTCGTGCCGAACGAAGTCTTAAAAGCATGTTTAGGAATAAATGTTGCTTACTCCAACCACTAACTATGCTCCAACTAAAGCGAAACTAAGGATACCATTTTTCATGCCACAACTCGCAAACAAACAAAGGACGATACGAGGAACATCAACTTCGTACCGAGTCTTCGCTTCCCTACACCAGAGGTCGGGAGCTGAACAACCCCAGAAAGTTCCAACCGGAAGCCCAAAAATGTGCGCGCATGCCTAGCTGCCAAACGTGCTCAGTAGAGCTACGGTTACTTCCGGTCTTCTTGATTGTCAAAATAGATCCTCTAACGGAACTCTCGAGAGTCCTGATCGCTTCGTCTAGCTTGCGTAAAGAACGAAGAGTCGAGTACGAGATTGGAGGAACGTGAATACCGTACTTACTGCTGGCCGATGACAAATGATAAAGGGTTGAAATAACTGAAAAGAGAGAAGAACATTTATTAGTTTAGTGATGGGATTGAATCTTTGGCACATATCAGGATAGCTTTTGGAAACATAGAACTACATTGAGGGAAAATTACCACGTATTTTTACACAATATTGGCCGATTTCGGAGAAAACCTTTTTTCATATTTCCATCTAAGCGTATTATAGCCGAGTAAGGATCTCGACGAGCCATTTCCCTGTGAAAGGGGAGATACCTCTACCATCTTTAGGTTAGGGTTGTGCCTCTGGGTTAATGAAAACGTTACCGTATATTAGACCATGATCAGCTTGATTTTGAAACCCTATTCTAGACTATGAACCAAACACCCCTATCCTCCCAGGCTAGCTATTTGTTAGGATGAGAAACTTTATCACTATCTTAGTCTAACATACAAACGCTACCTAAACCAATATCTTACAAAGTCACTTCCGAGTTTCACTTTCTATTATAGAACCCCGACCGGGTAAAGAACCCTGGATCAAAATGTTTAAATTCACTCAAAACTGGCGAATGTGAGAGCTACAAACCGACGAACAGGTGTACTTACGTCACCAAAGACAAATACGAATAACACGATCGACCCAGAAAATTTGTTTTATTCAGCTTTAAATTTCTAATGAAGTTGCTGAGGCAACGGTGGAATCAAGTCTTTGTTGCGAAATTTAAAGTGATGTTTAGTTTGTTTTGTATACCAAAGAGCTCAAACATGCAACTTACTAATGATGGAAAGATTGTTCATTTGAACACCAAGAAACTAAACCCTTGCAAAAAAAAGGCAATAAGATATTGCTGAAGTATCCCGAAAGCTGGAAACATTTGTAGATTATGTCGATTGAGAAGCAAATATTGTCATACGCCAAATAAACATGATTTCTAGCCATGGCAATTCAGTTGTCACTGCCATCAAACCACTTGGCGGGTACGAAGCTGAGTTAAGACAAGAGAGAGAGAGATTGCGCAAGACGTGAAAGTGAAAAAATGCACGTCAAATAAGGATCACCATGTAAAATCACAAATCTCATTCAAAATAATGGAATTTCTGGTTTCTATCGCGATAAACAGTTCAGCTGACAGTTTAGTTTCTTTTTTAAATCTATTTGAACAGCATATTGTCTCTACTCGATCTATACTGAATTTGCATATTAGCTATAGGAAATGAAATATCTAAGCCGAAATGCAGAAAAGGCAAATGGCACTGTGCCAGAATTTTCAATATACATGAGAAGATCAGCGGACATTACAGTTACTTCGGAGGAGAGTGAATTTAACAGAATACTGTGTAAAACAAACAAACAAACAAACGTAAAAGCAGTGCAAGAACTAGTTCCTATCAGAAAAATTGCAGTGCCCGTGGAAAAATAAACGCCATAACAGCTGTGAATAGCCGGGATGTATTCGAACAGTTCGACTCGCATTGTTCACCGGGCTATAGACACTGATATCTCAGTCAAAAAAGCAGTTTTTCTTTTCTCGCAAACTGATGTTAGCTAAGGCTTTAACGACTGGATGTATTTAGCAGAAGAGTTCTTGCATGGTTTTAAAACTACTGGAAAAATTCAGGACCCAGTTAACAATGAAGTTACGAATACGGACCTGTTTATCCATTGGAGCAAACTGAACGTGATAGACAATACGTTCACGTCAAGCAGACGATTGTATATGAGGAGTTTCGATGTGCAGTTTTCCTGTTAAATCTTCAGCTGAAGCGAACACAATATATAGTCGCACAGTTGGTGATTATAGACTTACCAATTAAGACGATCGTTGAGCCACTATTTTGAATTCCCATGTTAAGGTTTTTCGGACACTGTGGAAATTTGGTGTGTCAATCAGAGAATCTTGTTCGGTTTCTTCAAATCAAACCTTTACCATTTAAGAACAGACCTCATTTTCTCCTCTATTTAATAAATGAATGACTACTACGGTTGTCAGGCATTAGTTGTCAAGAAAATCCGTGCTGACGTCAACGGTGCTCGTCGCAGCTATCTGTCACCAGGGGGAACCCCGATCTTCGAACACCCGACAGGACAAATTTCCATGTAACATTTCCATATAACATGCGGAATGTTTAATTAGAAGGCAAGACTAGCCTTTTTCTTTGCAAATTGCGACACCTAGATGTTGTCTGTGAAAATAAAAAAAACAAACAAAACAAGAATTCGAGACTTTCTTAGCGTCGCAAAAAATCGAGACTCCGAGACAGCTCTGTGGAAAATTGGAAAAAAAAAAAAAAAGAAAGAAACTGCGAGACTAATGAAATTCTACGAAAATTTTGAGAGCCCCACGGTTTTTTAAGACCTTTCAAGGACCAGTCACCACCCCTTATACCTGTATTTTGTGGCTTGATCTTATTAATGTTTGTTTATCAATGTAACCGAATCTTCCAGCAAAGGCAAGCAGCCTTCTATAAACAGCCTTTTCAAATAAAGCAATGAACACAATAGCTGAATTTATCAGTACAATGGTTGAAAACAAGTGCTCCGATTAATGGTAAATTAAACGCGCCCAAATTTCCCACCCAAGGGTCAAAATCAACGAGAAAATTCAATTTTT